GGTGCAGTTCCATGTTTAAAAACTAAACAGACATTTCAGACAACACATTCTTGGCAATGGGACCTGGACAACATTTATCAAACACGGTAGGGAAAGTTCTCACTTTGCATTATAAAAAGGATAGCCAGATAGCAACTGTTACAGAAATAAAAGAAGATGGAAAACTTTAACAAACTGTTTAAACTGTCTTCTAAAAGAGACTTCCTCCACCGCCAGAGATCTTGGATAGCCTCCTGGTCAGTCATCCAGAAGCAATTCTTCACATAATTGATGAATTTGGCTTCCACTTTGGGAGGAGAACCACCTTTTTTCTGTACTTGCTTGCATTTTTGTTTTATTGTCTTCTACAGAACTAGGTCCTTTTGGTGTTTTAGGAGCCTTTTCCTGTTTCTCTTTGTTTTAATTTCTTTTTTATTGAGAAATAAATATGAATGAGACAGTTTCACAGCTGATTAATAGGACAGTTTTGATAATCAATACTTTGTACATTGTTATCTTCTTAGTGGTTATCCATAGTACAAGAAGCAGACAGGGTATTCTGTCCAAACACTGTTAGTACACCTCTTTCTTCTCTTTGAATTAAGCGAAAGTAGCTGTAAATTTATCCTAACTATTTTGTATATATAGATACAAAATGATCATTCCTTTGTATCCTTTTTTTATTGTCTGTCGGAGGTGAATATTCTATTAGCATCTAAATACTACAGGTGTTTGAATTCAACTAAACAATCTAACACTGTCTAGCAGTCTGTAATATTAGTGGGTTATCCTCAGAAGTTATTGACTTGAGCCTTTTACAGCTCATTGTATTAATATGACTTTATTTTATATACCTAATTTTTGTACTTTTCTGCTGGATGGTTAAGACCAAGATATAGCAAGACCTATATAACAAGAAATGTAACTTTTGTACCTGACAAGGTCAGTCAAGTCCCCTCAGGATTTATCCTGCAGCCCTGTACCGCCCTTTTTACATCCTTTTGTCAGTATCAGACGTAGATGAGTCACGGCCATTGCTTGACCAATTTTTCCTGTTTCTTGAAGGATTCCTGCCATTTTGATCTTGGTGTTGACAGTTTTGAGTCTTCCATTCTGGTTTTATTTTCGTTCATTTTTGGCTGGAGTATCTCATATTGATTTCTTCACTAGAGCTTTCTCTTCAGTTTCTTCATCATCAAAATCATCATCATGGAGGCAGGAGGATCAGTGTGAGTTTGAGACCAGTCTGGGATATAAAATGAGCTCAAAGCCCGCCTGAACTACATAGTGAGACCCTGTTTCAAAAAGAAAAAAAAGCCCTAAATCTACATATTAGATTGCATCATATGAAATAATATTTGACATTTAACCTACAAAAATGTAGCTGTATGTGATTCAACCTGAAGTATGTCCAACAGAAATCTGTGCATCCAAAGACTAGTTCAGTAGGGTCAATAAAGTGATATTTCTTATCAGTGGCCCTGAGTGGAAAGCAGCCAAACATTCATCAATGGTAAAATCATACATAATATATAAACTGTCATACACTGAAATACTGCATAATAATGAAAGATAATAAATTAGTTATATGCAATGACATATGTCATTATTAAAATAAAACTTTGATTTAAAAAAAAAGTGTATTTAGTACAGGGTCTACAGGGTCTGGCTATGCAGATCAGACTCATAGTGATCCTCCTGCCTTCAGCCTCCCAAGTGCTGGGATTACGGGCGCAGGCCATCACACCCAGTCTCAATCACCATCTCAGCGTGCCCCAGGGGCAAGACCAGCACAGCATGCTGGGGATCAAACCCTGGTCCCTGTGTTTGCCTAAGCAGGTGCTTTAATCTGCTGAGCTATCTGGCTGGCCCTAAAATAAAATTTTGGACTGGGGATGTATCTCAGTGGCACAGTGCCTGCCTTGCAAATGCAAGGTCGCCAGTTTGATTCCTAGTACCTAAATAAATAAATATAAATAAATAAAAAATGTTCAGTGGAAGATCAAGACACAAGAGAGTAAATACAGTATAATGCAGGCAAAATATTAGTGACCATGTAGGGACTCATGTATATGTGGCAAGTCAAAAGATAAAAGCAAAGAAATTAGCTTTCTAATTAGCTTTGCTAACCATAAATTAGCAAACTGCCTCTGGCTAGGAGTATGGAGGCAATCAAAAGGAATTACTGGGAAGCTTTTGGGTGATGGGGATATTCTGTTATTTGACCCAGTGATAGCTACATAGGCATTTTCTCTTATTATACATGTATGGTACACTTATATTTTGTATATATTTAGGTTTATAAATTATATATAATTAAATGCTTTAAATGTTTCTCATGCAAACAAGAGCTACTTGGTCATGTCAGCTTATAATAAACTCTGCTTTTTCCCAACAACAAAAAAAAAAAACAAAATAAAATAAATGAATAAATAAATAAATCATATCATCATCATCCTCCTCCTCATCATCATCCTCGTCCTCATGGTCCTCGTCGTCTTCATCAGCAGTGAGTTTTACTTTTTTCTGTGGAACCTCACTGCCACCTCCAGGGGCAGATCGCTTTCCAGATATACTTAAGAATTTTACATCTTCTTCCTCTTCTTCTTCTGACTGACTCTGCATCTTCTTCCACAGATACTAAATGCTGTCCACTAATACGCACAGGCCCTGAACCACACTTCAACCTTAAGACAACAGTTGGTGTGATTTCAAAGCCCCTGAGGGAAACCATTGGCTGTACGCACATTTTGAAAATTGGCAGTGTTATTTTAATTGGACTGCCTTCATAATTCATAGCCTCTGCTTCAACAATGAGCAATTCATCCTTTGCACCAGCCCCTAAACTGACCCTTCTTAAGGACAACTGGTGCTCATTTTCATCGTTATCCACCTTAAAGTGGTAATCTTTGTCAACCTTTAGTTCATAACCGAAGAGATAGTTCTGGGGGCTCAGGGGGTTCATGTCCGTATCCACCAAATCTTCCATGGGGTGGTGGCGCACACTTAGGTGGGAGAGAACGCGGACGGAAGTGAATGACTACTGCTCCACAGAACAGACGTGCAGGACAGAATCACGCCAGGCAGGAAACACTTTTCACAAACTCTTTTCTAAACGTTGATTTGTTCTGTTATGTTGCTATAGATTTTGCTTCTATGGTCTAAAGTACAAAACTGATAGTTACCAATGTTTTTCAATTTCTTTTTTTTTTTTTTAAGAGGTGTATATTTTATTTTTTAAGAATTCGATCTAGGGAAATACACCAATGTTTTTCAATTTCTAAACTTTGCTTTATGTTACTATGATTGCTAATTATACTACTGCATCTAGGATATCATATCTGTTTTAACCATTTGTTCGCCCTTGGGTAACAATATTGGAAACACTGAGTGATAACCTCACCAAAGCCCTACTCTTAAAGATGGAGGACCATGCCAAACAGAAACTAACTTCCCACTCTCAATTAATTGAGAAGGCAGTCCAAAAGAGAAAGAGTAAGGGCAGGCTCTCAGGATAGACACAAACCAAGAATCTCCAACACAGAGAATATAACCCTGAAGAACAGATTCTTCCTAGAGGGGCCTTGACAGTGATAGTATAGCTAAAATGTATCAAAATTTCATGAGGATTATCACAGAAATCAAAACAAAAATTCTTTTTTTTTTCACTAATGACAATTTACTATGTTTTCAGCATACAAACCAAGTAGTAATTAGACCAGGATTATGTCTACATAGAAGTGGGCAGTGATAGGTGCCATTCTATGGGGTACACATGCATTTAATCATGTTTTAGTTGTTTGATCTTCTGCTTATGCCATTCAGTTTCTTTCTCCATACTCTCAATTTCCTTTTTATGATGATAGATCTCATCTTCGTGGTGTTTCTTCAAGACTGCCAGTTGTTCTCTAGTCTTCTGTCAGAAGAACTGCTCCTCTTCAGCCTGCTCTCTCTTCAAGAAGGCCCCACTGGCATCTTGGATCAAGCCGGAAGAACTCTCATGATCCTTGTCCAAGTTGAAGCTTTGGGTTTGCATGGCCCTCGTTCCCTAAACACTGAGCTGTGCCCGAGATGCCAGTGCCATACCTGCTATTGTTCCTAAAGCAGTAGGCCCCCAAATATCAAGAAGAATATTTTTTGGCTGACTCAGGCTGCCTTCAAGAATGTGGAGCTGACCAAAGGACAAATAATGTATGACTGTGTTCAGTTGTCCCTTATACAATGTTTGTATCTTGTATATATGTAGTGTAACTACTTTACTTTTTTATTGTTTGTGCAAAAATAGCCATGATTGTCAGAAATTGTTCATAATTTGTAGGTAGATGCAAAGTCATGTCCCCACCAATTTCAAAGAAAGGTGTGTTTTGCACTGCATGTGCAAACGTACTCCCCTCTATCATTATTTCTTGTCACAGGTCTCAAACAGAGACCTCAGAGCAATACTGTTGTGACTGAGATGGAAATAGTCATGTGAATCCAAATGGAATTGTCCATTTAACCTTTTTCTTCACAATCCCCTTTCCTGTCACGTGGAATGCTGCCAATGGGACTAGGCAAGTAGAAGACGTTTTCCATCTCTTGTTTTCCTTTCATTTTATTTAACCTTACTTTCTTTTTCAACTAAATGATATTTGTTCTGTACAAACTTTTTATAATATTTCCTCAAGAGTTTAGCCTATTACAGACCACATGACATCTTTAGCAACTGAAAACCAGCCTTGTGGTCTATTTTCTCACAAGGACTCTCTCACTTGCCTTCCTTTCAGTGCTGTTGCTTGTCTGTTCCTTTTCTGCAGCACCCTCCCAAGGTATTTTCAGAAAGCAAGCAACACATTTATTGCTTATTTTCCCCGAATATTTTTTTAAATAAAGATACAAAGACACTGGGAAAAAAAAAAAAAAGAATGTGGAGCTGGGGACCAAACTGCGGTCCCCCATGCCTGATTGGGTTTGCCCATGCAGGCGTTTAAAGAACTGAGCTAACTGGTAAGCCTCCAGAAAGTTCTTTTTGAAATAGAAAGTGGCTTTCCGCGGACCAGGGCCCAGGGTGCGCTGTTGGTGGCGTCCTCTCCGCTCCTGACTCACCGCTGTTCGCTCGCGCCGAGGAACAAGTCGGTCAGGAAGCCGCGCCTCAGCCATGGCGTTTAAGGACACCGGGAAGACGCCCGTGGAGCCCGAGGTGGCGATCCACCGGATCCGGATCACCCTCACCAGCCGCAACGTGAAGTCGCTGGAGAAGGTGTGTGCCGACCTGATCCGAGGCGCCAAGGAGAAGAACCTCAAGGTGAAGGGGCCCGTGCGCATGCCCACCAAGACCTTGAGAATCACGACGAGAAAAACGCCTTGTGGGGAGGGCTCCAAGACGTGGGATCGCTTCCAGATGAGGATCCACAAGCGGCTCATCGACCTGCACAGCCCTTCGGAGATCGTGAAGCAGATCACGTCCATCAGCATCGAGCCGGGAGTGGAGGTGGAGGTCACCATCGCCGACGCCTGAGCGGCCGGCCTAATAAATTGAGTATCGCTTGTTAAAAAAAAAAAAAAAAAAAAGAAATAGAAAGTGACAAGACCAAGGATCAAAATACAATCTCAGGCCCTTAGCCCACCCAGAATAAGTCCAGAAGACACCAGCACAGAAAAAATTGCAAATTACAAACCCAAAGTCTCTGAAATGATAGCAACTGAAATAAGGAAAAACTCTATGTAAGAAAAAGGAAATCAGATCAGAAATAATCTTTCATGTAAAAAAAAGAAATGATAACTATAATGAAAGAAGTGCTGAGCATATCCAAAGAAGACGTAGATTAAAAAATAGAAGAGCATATAAAAATGATGGAAACTTTGAATAAGCAATATAGGGAAGAATTAGAAGGCATAATACCAATTCAAAGAGATAGCTTGGAATTTTTTAATTCCATTAAAAGCTTTAATTTCATCTGTCACCCAGATGATATTTAACAATATTTAAAATCCAATGAAAATTCAAACACAACTTACACAAATTTGTGAGATGCAATGAAATCAGTACTCATCAAAACCATTTGAATGAAACTAAAGATAAACTTTCAGACCTTGAAGACATCATTACAGCTAGCAACCAGGAAAAGAGAGATATCTCAAAAATAACAAGGAAACAGGAACTAATAATGCAATTGCTCCAAGATGATGCAAACATGAACAACATAAGACTAATGGGTATCAGTGAAAAAGAGTCAACACAAATGACATAAAAACTCTATTTGTGGAAACAATAACAGAAAACTTCCCAAGCATTAGAAAAGAAGCTGGCATACAGACAAGTGAGGCACTTAGAACTCCAACTAGTCCAACTAAAATAAACCTGCACTCAGGCATATAATAAACAAAATACCAGAAATTTAGCACAAGAACAACATACTAAAGGTTGTTAGAGAAAACAAACAGATCACATATAAAAGAAAGTCCATCAGAAACACAGGAGATTTTTCAACACATACCATCAAGTCAAAAAGAATGTGGAGTGAAATATTTCAAGCCTGAAAGAAAACAACTTCCAATCCAGATCGATGTACCCTTCAAAGCTATGTTTCACAATTAATAGAGAAATAAAATACTTCCATGACAAAGAAAAACTAAAGAAATTAATGACCACCAAACGAACCCCACAAAGATCACTGAAAGATATTCTAGAAAGAGAAGAAAATGACCACAATTCCAGGAACAATAACAGAAATACACCACCCAACAAGGTAAGTAATTAAACACAGGAAATTAGAGAAGCAACAGAAGAAAAGTAACATGACAAACATAGACTAAAACATATCAGTTATAACCACCAATGTAAATGGCCTCAATTTACCAATGAAAAGACATAGACTGGAAAAGTGGGTCAATAAAAAAAATTGAACAATATTCTGTATACATGAAACACATTTAACTCAGAAGGAAATTCATAGGCTGAAAGTCAAAGGATGTAATACAACTCTCTTTATGCCAGAAACTCAGAAAAAATAGGAGTATCTGTTCTGTTCACAGATAATGATAACTTCACACCAAAAATGATCAAATGAGATGAAAAAGGTCACTACGTTTTGTTAGGAGAAAACTTCAAGAGGAAGAAGTAACAACCATAAATATGTATGCACAAAATATGGGAGCACTCAACTATATAAGTTTAAGGATAAGAAAAGTCAAATAATGAATAATGCATCTTAACAGAAAACCACACCATTGTCTCAAACAGATAGATCAACCAGAAAAAATTAGCAAAGTGGTAGCAGAACTAAACCAAACTTTTGAACAAATAGACATAGTAGACATTTACAAAGTATTTCACCCAACAGCATCTGAATACATATTCTATTCAGCAGCACATGGGATATTCTATAAAATAGAGGACATGTGAGTCCATAGAATATGCTTAAGCAAATACAAAAGAATTGAAATTATCCCATGTATACTATCTGACCATATTGCAGTGAAACTGGAAATTGATGGCAAAACACATGGAAGTTAAGTAGCACCCTCCT